TATTTGAACAGTCTTCTACATTTTTCCACGGTTACCAAACCAGTGCATCGCAGACTGTGGAATATGGAAGGTGGCGTGCTCAGCGTGGAGTGTAGAGGGTGGAGTGTGAAGCGTGGAGTGCAAAGTGTGGAGTATAAAGTGTAAAGTGCGGGTGTAAAGTGCAGAGTGTGGAGTGTAAAGTGTGGAGTTTGGAGTGTAGAGTGCGGAGTGTAGAGTGCAAAGTGTGGAGTGTGGAGAGTAACGTGTAGAGTGTGGAGTGTAATGTAAAGTGAGGAATGTGAAGTGTAGTGTGCGAAGTGTAGAGTGAGGAGTGTAAAGTCTGGAGTGTAAAGTGTGGAGTGTAAACTGTAGAAAGTCGAGTGTGGAGTGTAAAGTAAGGAGTGTGGAGTGTAAAGTGTGGAGTGTGTAAGTGTAGTGTGGAGTGTAGAGTGTGGAGTGTGGAGTCTAGAGTGTGGAGTGTGGAGTGTACAGTGTAAAGTGTAAAGTGTATGGTGTGGAGTGTAGAGGTTAGAGTGTAAAGTGTAGAGTGTAAAGTGTAGAGTGTAAAGTGTAGAGTGTAAAGTGTAGAGTGTGGGGTGTGGAGTGTACAGTGTACAGTGTAGAGTGTGGAGTCTGAAGTGTAAAGAGTGCATTGTAAAGTGTGGAGTGTAAAGTGTGGAATGTGAAGTGTAGAGTGTAAAGTGCAAATTGTAAAGTGGGGAGTGTCGTGTGTAGAGTGTGGAGTGCAAAGTGTAGGGTGTAAAGCGTAGAGTCTAAAGTGTAGAGTGTAAAGTGTGTAGTGTAGAGTGGAGTGTGGAGTGTAGAGTGTAAAGTGTGCAATCGCAAGAAGCCGGGAGCCGATCAAGGCTCCTTGGCCGAGGTGCTTGGGATAAAGCCAAAAGTAGATGGAGTGTAAAGTGTGGAGTGTAAAGTGTAGAGTGTAAAGTGTAGAGTGTAAAGTGTAGAGGTGGAGTGCGGAGTGAACAGTGTAGAGTGTGGCGTGTGAGGTGTGGAGTGTAAAGTGTAAAGTGTTGAGTGTGGAGTGTAAAGTGTAGAGTGTGGAATGTGGAGTATGAAGTGTGGAGTGTGGAGTGTAGAGTGTGAAGTGTAGAGCGCGGAGTGTGGAGTGTAAAGTGTTGCGTGTAATGTGTAGAGTGTAAAGTGTGGAGTGCAAAGTGTGGAATGTGAAGTTTAAAGTGGAAAGTGTGGAGTGTACAGTGTTGAGTGAAGTGTGGAGTGTACAGTAAGGAGTGTAGAGTGTAGAGAGTAGAGTGTGGGGTGTAAAGTGTAGGGTGTAAAGTGTAGAGTGTAAAGTGTAGGGTGTAGAGTGTGGAGTGTAGAGTGTAGAGTGTAAAGTGTAGAGTGTAAAGTGTAGAGTGTAAAGTGTAGGGTGTGAAGTGCGGAGTGTGCAGTGTAGGGTGTAGAATGTGGCGTGTGAAGTGTGGAGTGTAAAGTGTTGAGTGTGGAGTGACGGTTGCGAACGGTTGCGGACGGTTGCGAGCGGTTGCGAGCGGTTGCGAACGGTTGCGGTCGTAAACGCAACGTCGAGCGAACACACCCTCAACCCCCAGACCCCCAGAGTGAAACGGGAACCTTTGCTACGCATTCGGGAAAAAGTGCGTATCGGCATACCTCAAGGTCTGCGGATTTCAGACTTTAAATTTTAAGTAGATGACAGTATTTCACGACTTGACAGACCATGGTGGACCGCGATTGTATCCTAGTCCAAAAGTGCCTAATTCAAGCCACCGGCCTGGCACCGGGGCTGCCGCAATACATTGCGGCCAAGCCAACCGGCTTCACGCCCCAAAGCCATCTGCGGTACGGGCATCCAAACCATGCCCAGCGGGGTGTTCGCAACTTCGCCTTGGAGAAGGTCCTTGAAATTGTCGAACACCCGCTTCTTTTTCAGAGGGTCTCCGATGATCCTGGCAAGCGCCTTGTTTCCCCAAAAACAAAGAAATACATATGCAAATAAAAAGACAAATATATATATGTATATATATATATGTTTATATAGAAACAGCTTTCGATGTAAAAAAAGTTAATTGTAAATTGTAAATTTATATATGAGTACTACTCCATGTTTCGAACTATAAAAATATTTTGGTATACGAGTATTGTGAACGTTTCGGTTCTATGCAAAAAGAGGTATGTGCATATATACGTGTATATGCGCTCGTGCAATCTGCTTCTTTTTGGGCGTGATCCCATGTCATTTCCTGGTATTCTTCATTGCCAACGTTTTGTAGCTCTGATTTGGATGCGTTTTCTGTTTGGTTTTGTCTATTGTGTTGCGTTGGTTCTGCTTCTGTGGTAGTGAAAACTTCAACAAATCAACCAAACCCGGCATGTTGAATACGACATCCGGCACTAAAATCCCAAAAACATCATATATATATATATATATTCAAATACTGAGGCCGAAACCAAACTCGGCGCATCCATGAACTGATCCAACACCGCACAATTGTGCCCGAAACATTTTGAAGACCAGACTCACCGTATGGGCATCGCAATGCGCTTGGCCCGCTCCTCATCGCCCCGCTTTGGGACGCCGCCTGAGAGCACAAGACGGAAAGTCTAATAGAGCAGCTGCTTCATCGGCAAATCAAACCGTTTTCAAATCTTTCAGCCGGCTGTGAAAATATTTCCTTACCGCAAAGATCCGTTATAAATGGAACAGCGCTACCAAAAACAGCTCTGCGCGCAAGTTTGTTGATGCTGAAGCATTGAAGGAAATTATCAAACATGTGACAAAGATATTGACATGTGAGGAAAATTTTTGATTATAAGCACTTTGGGCGCTGGAAGGCTTCCTTTCCCTCTTTTCTATACTTCTTAAACTTTGTGCTTTCACCCCGAAAAAGGACTTGCTAGGCCTTGCTTCACGAACTCTTGCCGGACCAGCACCACGGCCGTCAACGGCACTTTTTTGCGCACGTCCATGGACCTGCGCCCTAGCACGCAAAGGCGCAGCGCCCAAAGCATGCGTGCGCTCACGTGGTGCTCCAGGTCAGCCTCCGGAAAATGCACCAGCGTTGCGAACAGCTTCCTCCGAGCGCAAGCATACTTTTTCTACAGACTGTCCGTAAATCCTTTCTGTCTAAAGAGACATCCCTACATATTCCCTTGGGGGCTCAAAATCGTGGTTTTCCTCCAACCACATCGGTGTTCCTTAGGAGTAATCCCGTGAGCTCCATGTTCCTTGGCCGCATCTTTCTCGTCCAGCTTCTTCTTCTGATTCTGCCCTGCCTGCTTCACGGCTTCTGTATTGCTTGTGCACGGGCACATCGTTGGGATAATGCGATAAAGTGAAAGTTGGTGATCCTTGTGATTTTCGCAGCGCTCATTTTCTAAATGAAAGCCGGTGCCTTCAAAATCAACGCGAGCAAGAAAGCAGATTTGCAATTTTGGGGCTGTTTATTATTCAATATCTGTCACATATTTAAGTTCTCAAGCTGAAGCCTCAAGAAACCCTGCTGGCGATGCGGTGTCCTCCTCTAGGGCCAGCATCGCTGCTCTTTCGGCCATCGCTGTCACGGAGACACTGAGCCGGGGCGTTGGCAAGGAAGCCGCGAAGTGGGCCAGAGACTTGCAGCGCTCGAGGCAACATCACGGAACGTGATCACTGATAACTCCAGTCACGGTGTTCCAGGCCAAGTAGTCACGAGCCAAGATGTTTCCTGGAAACGGAAAGCTAAATCGTGGAAATATGTCATGGTCATAGTTATTGTTGTATCCTGAGTAGTAGCTAGGTTCGCTATTGTGCCAAAAAAATCCAAATTATTCTGAACCCATGCATTGTTTGGCAGGTTCGCTATTGTGGCAAGAAATCTTGGGAGACAATTTTTTTTGGTCCAACAAATGTTTGCGTAAAAAAATCTGAACATGTTTTCTGAAAAAATCTTGCTTCTCTCCCTCTCCCAAAAGAATCAGACCACTTATTCAGACCGCTTATTAATTCCTTATTAAAGAACAGTTTTTCCACAAATTTCCAAGGCACGTGGCTATGAGAGGGCCCAATTCACTTTAGTAGGTTTGTTCGCAGGCTTCACACTTGCAGCAAACTTTTCCAGAGCTGATCCTGGAGCCAGGAGAAGAAAGGTATGCCTTTTCCACGAGCAATTGCCAGATTCAAAGGTTAAACCTTTCCCAAAAGAATCAGACCGCTGATTAAACCCTTATTAAGAACAGTTTTTCCACAGATTTGCAAGGCACTGGGCCATGAGAGGGCCCAATTCACTTTAGTAGGTTTGTTCGCAGGCTTCACATTGCAGCAAACTTTTCCAGAGCTGATCCTGGAGCCAAGAGAAACCGGACGCACAAGTTGCCTTTTCCCTGGGGTCGTACGCCCGAAACCCTTAAACCCTTAACCCTAAAACCCTAAACACTAAAAACCCCAAAAACACCACCGAAATTGGGCTTTGCTTTTTGACGCCCAGTACAAGGCCCTTCCCCTGATCCACGCTTTCAAGCATCCAAGTGGCATGCCCAGCGCTTCTTGGGAAGTCAGCGGTTGGCGGACCTTGTGGTCCTGCAAGCTGCAAGTGCTTGAGGAACAGTTTCCGGGCAACCTGAATCTTCAGCTGTCCAACCAAGGCAAGCATTCCCATGTCTCCAAATATAGAAATTCCCTGTAAATTCCCTTAATAAACCCTCAACCCTAAACCCTTAAAAGAAAGGTCACGCAGCAATATAGCGCCAAGAGATTTATGCCGCGTATCTAATGCCATACAGGCGGATCCATGGCCGGGTCCTAGGATACCCCCTACCGCTCATACCCCCTTGGAATATTTTTAAAATACTCCGCCATAGTCGAAGGTTTTTCCGGAAAAATATTCTGATACGTTGCCCACGTATGGAATAATTTTCAGCAATTTTGCTTCGAAAAGTATTCTGGCAACATGTGAACCTCATGCTGTAAAATATTCCAAGTATATGCTGAGGGTATCTAAGCTGAACATAGCTGAACATGATGGTGTTTGGCACCATTCGTTCTGTACATGTAAGTATCGCACTGAAGCCAACGCCAACGCCAACGCCACCACCACCACTTGTTTGGGCACGTCCATGGACCTGCGCCCTAGCACGCAAAGGCGCAGCGCCCAAAGCATGCGTGCGCTCACGTGGTGCTCCAGGTCAGCCTCCGGAAAATGCACCAGCGTTGCGAACAGCCTCCTCCGAGCGCAAGCATACTTTTTCTACAGACTGTCCGTAAATCCTTTCTGTCTAAAGAGACATCCCTACATATTCCCTTGGGGGCTCAAAATCGTGGTTTTCCTCCAACCACATCGGTGTTCCTTAGGAGTAATCCCGTGAGCTCCATGTTCCTTGGCCGCATCTTTCTCGTCCAGCTTCTTCTTCTGATTCTGTCCTGCCTGCTTCACGGCTTCTGTATTGCTTGTGCACGGGCACATCGTTGGGATAATGCGATAAAGTAAAAGTAGGTGATCCTTGTGATTTTCGCAGCGCTCATTTTCTAAATGAAAGCCGGTGCCTTCAGAATCAACGCGAGCAAGAAAGCAGATTTGCAATTTTGGGGCTGTTTATTATTCAATATCTGTCACATATTTAAGTTCTCGCCGTGGACGCCCTTTAGGTGGGCTTCACCCCATCAGCCCGAGGGCCCCTTCTAATTTTTGACAAGTGCCCGGGAAGAAGCATGAAGCCTCAAGAGACCCTGCTGGCGCTGCGGTGTCCTCCTCTAGGGCCAGCATCGCTGCTCTTTCGGCCATCGCTGTCGCGGAGACACTGAGCCGGGGCGTTGGCAAGGAAGCCGCGAAGTGGGCCAGAGACTTGCAGCGCTCGAGGCAACATCACGGAACGTGATCACTGATAACTCCAGTCACGGTGTCCCAGGGTCACAAGCCAAGATGTTTCCTGGAATTGGGAAGCAAAATCGTGGAAATATATCATTGTCATAGTTACTCTGCATTGCACTTGAAAACCCCAGGGCCCCAAGTTCCTGCCTCTGTCAGGGCCGATAGAAAACTCTCGGCCTCATCTTCATGCAGAGCTCATAATGGGTCCGCCAATGCACTGTCAACATCATAAGAATATTTGGTCGTGTAGTGAATGTCGCTTTCCGCCAAGAACTGCGATGCCCCGGACAAGCCAGCACACGGCAATGCCAAACTGATGCGGAATGGCAGCAAAGGAGACCTGAGACAAGAGATGCCAACAGTGAGGAGGACCGTGCCAGGAACTCTGCCTAGATGCATGGAAATGGGCTCTCAAATGGTGTTTGAAACAGGAAGTCTTTTCAAACCTCATCGTTGGGAAGTCTTTTCAAGCCTTCAACCCTCCAGGCCTCTCGCAAAGACTGCTCGCAATCAATGACGACTGAATTTGATAAAGACTATGAATCCCGGAGGTGCTTTTCACACTATGTTGAATCTCCACTATCTGTCTATCTATCTATCTATCTGTCTATCTATCTATCTATCCATCCATCTATCCATCTATCCATCTATCCATCTTTCTACCTATCTATCTCTATCAATCAATCAATCTATCTATCTGTCTATCTATCTATCTATCAATCTATCTAACCTAATCTGATCTAATCTGATCTAGTCTAATCTAATCTAATCTAATCTATCTATCTGTCTATCTATCTGATCTATCTGTTCTGTCTGATCTATCTGATCTGCCTGATCTATCTGATCTATCTAACCTATCTAATCGATCTGATCTATCTATCTATCTAACTATCTATCTCATCTATCTCATCTATCTCATGTATCTCATCTATCTCATCCATCTCATCTATCTATCTATCTCATCTAATCTCATCTAATCTAATGTAACTCATCTATCTCATCTATCAAATCTATCTCATCTATCGCATCTATCGCATCTTTAGCATCTATCGCATCTATCTCATCTATCTCATCTATCTCATCTATCTTATCTATCTCATCTATCTATCTATCTAATCTCATCTCACCTAATCTAATCTAATCTAATCTATCTCATCTATCTCATCTATCTCATCTATCTCACCTATCTCATCCATCTAATCTATCTCAAATCTCATCTATCTCATCTATCTCATCTATCTCATCTATCTATCTATCTATCTATCTACCTACCTATCTATCTATCTATCTATCTACCTCTCTCTCTCTCTCATTTATCTACCTATCTACCTATCTACCTATCTACCTACCTATCTACCTATCTACCTATCTACCTATCTACCTATCTACCTATCTACCTATCTACCTATCTATCTACCTATCTACCTATCTACCTATCTATCTATCTATCTATCTTATCTATCCTATCTATCCTATCTATCCTATCTGTCCTATCTATCTCATCTATCTCATCTATCTCATCTATCTCATCTACCTACCTACCTATCTATCTATCCTACCTAATCTAATCTATTCTAATCTAATCTTATCTATCTTTCTATCTATCTATCTAATCTAATCTGGTCTAATCTTATCTTTCTATCTATCTACCTAACTATCTATCTCATCTATCCTATCTGCCTCATCTATCTCATCTATCTCATCTATCTTATCTTTCTATCTATCTAATCTAATCTCACCTAATCTAATCTAATCTGTCTCATCCATCTCATCTATCTCACCTATCCCATCCATCTCATCTATCACATCTATCTCATCTATCTCATCTATCTCATCTATCCCATCTATCTCATCTATCTCATCTATCTCATCTATCGCATCTATCGCATCTATCGCATCTATCAAATCTATCTCATCTATCGCATCTATCGCATCTATCTCATCTATCTCATCTATCTCATCTATCTCATCTATCTCATCTATCTCATCTACCTCATCTACCTATCTACCTATCTATCTATCTATCTCATCTATCTCACCTATCTCATCTATCTCATCCATCTCATCCATCTCATCCATCTCACCCATCTCATCCATCTCATCCATCTCATCTATCTCATCCATCTCATCTATCTCATCTATCTCATCTATATATCTCATCTATCGCATCTATCGCATCCATCTCATCTATCTCATCTATCTCATCTATCTCATCTATCTCTCTATCCATCTATCTATCTATCTATCTATTTATTTACCTCTCTCTCTCTCTCATCTATCTATCTATCTACCTATCTATCTATCTATCTATGTATCTATCTATCTATCTATCTTTCTTCTATCTATCTACCTATCCATCTATCCATCTATCCATCTATCTCATCTGTCTCATCTGTCTCATCTATCTCATCTATCTCATCTATCTCATCTGTCTCATCTATCTCATCTATCTCATCTATCCCATCTATCTCATCTATCCCATCTATCTTATCTATCCCATCTATCTCATCTATCTCATCTATCTCTACTATCTATCTATCTATCTCATCTATCTCATCTATCTCATCTATCTCATCTACCTCATCTACCTATCTACCTATCTACCTATCTATCTATCTCATCTATCTCACCTATCTCATCTATCTCACCTATCTCATCTATCTCATCTATCCCATCTATCTTATCTATCTCATCTACCTCATCTATCTCATCTATCTCATCTATCTCATCTATCTCACCTATCTATCTATCTCATCTATCTCATCTATCTCATCTATCTCATATATCTCATCTATCTCATCTATCTCATATATCTCATCTATCTCATCTATCTCATATATCTGATCTACCTCATATATCTCATCTACCTCATATATCTCATCTACCTCATATATCTCATCTACCTCATATATCTCATCTACCTCATTTACCTATCTACCTATCTATCTATCTATCTGTGCCGCCCAGGTTGCGATCTGATTCTGCCTATCCACTCATGCAGCGGGTACCCTTCCAGACGTGGCATCTGCGAACCGCGCGTCCGCAGCTGCAGCAGCTCGGATACCCAGGGAGGCGGCAGCTCATATTGTAGGGCAGCATCGTGGCTTTGGATGGAAGAAAATGCGCAAGCTGATCCAAAATTTGGAAGCTGACCCATTGCCTTGTAGATTTAATGGGATGAGTAACTTCATGGTGCCGCGTGACACTAGCATCTGCGATCTATTGGAAAATCCCCGAATCCAGTGTCACTCCGTTCTTTCTAGGCTGTGAAAGACATATGTCTTAATTGCGTTGATCACATTTGGATGAAAGACGAATCCTCCTCGGATGCGTGGTCCCCATCACTAAACGATGGGAAACGTGCATCCTCTTGTTCTGCAATGCTACACCTGTGCCGTGACGCACTGGTAGGACAAAAGTTGCGCTTGTTGAGCTTCCGACAATAAACATGTTTGGTTTCTTCCTCTGCACGCCCTTTCCCCTTAGAATCCTACCATAGAGCTTTGTCGTACCCTGGTCGAGTTTCCACCGTCCAAAAGCTTTTAATCTCATAAGTTTAAAAGCGGATGTTAATTGACCGTCCCGCACCTGCCACACACAATGGGCTTGGAAATGTGATCCGCGGCTGACCGAGAATGATGCTTTGTGAAGCTTTCAAGAAACATAAACTTTGTTCCTCCTGAAGTATACATATGTATATATAGTATATATGTAGTGTATGTATATATATATAGTGTATATATATATAGTGTATATATATAGTGTATATATATATAATCACTACCCTTTTAAGGGGGGGACGTACCCAAAATGTAAGCTACATTTTTCAAGGTGTTTTTTAGGGGGGCCTTAAAAATGTAAGCTTACATTTTGAAGGTATTTTGACAACCCTCCGCACAAAAACGACACCTGGGGGACGTTCAGCGACCAATTTTACATTTAAAGGCGAGTCCCCAAAAATGTATCTTACATTTTGGTATGGTGCCCCCTGAAAAGTAGCCGTAAAGGGGTGGTGATTATACATATATAATTATATATACACAAATTTATACACGTATGGGATGTATCTCTGGTGACGATTGATGATACAGACGATTTTCTTATCCAGTTCGGTCATTACAGACAGTTGGATACACTTTTGTGATCGGATCATCTGTAAATGCAGACTGGTGAATTACCAAAGGTCATTTTGAATAGAAGTGGGATTAATGGGATATGTGAGACACCAACTGTATGATAACGATTGTGCTTTTCTTAATGGTATTTAACCGACAAACATAGGGATGCAATGGGATAAAATGAAGATGTAATGCAGATAGAGTGGAATAACTAACACATATATGAGGGATTTCTTTG